TTAAAAACCTAAAACAGATCAGTTAAGAAAAAGATGAAGGTAAATCAAGAAGTTCCACAGTATGTATTATTGCAGTTTAAGAAGACAATGAAAGGAATGGCAGAGAAGTAATGGCTGGAATTTTTCTGAATTGGTGCAAGACGTGAACCCTCTGATCAAAAACACACTGAGTACTGAGCAGAATAAAGAGAGATAAATGCAGGCCTGGCCTAATCACAATCAAAGTGCAGAGCCTCGAGATGAAGATAAAACTTTAAAGTGGCTCGAAAGAAAAGACAGATTCCCTATGAAGAAACAGCACTGCCTGAAAGCAGAATTGTCATCATTACTAATAGGTGCAGAAAAATATTTTCAAAGCACTGAAGGAAGACAACTATAAACCTACAGTTTTGTGCCCTGCCCAATTTATGTGTGAGGGGTTTCAGACATATAAATACTGAGAGAGGCTCACCTCCCACATACTTTCACTGCAAAAGCTATTAAAGGATGTGCATCTGCAAGAACAGAAGTGAGAAAGAAGGCTGTCAGAAATGGCGAAGGGCGTACAATTTCACCATGCTTGCAAGTTAACAAAGTAGCCTGCCACACGGACTCATGGCTGCAGCAGAATGACATGAGACTCCTGGGTCAGAGACAAAGGACTTTATCACTCACAGCATAGAGGCAGCATGAGTTTCATGTGTGCGTTGGTTCTCCTAACCTCCCAAATCCTATAGGGGTGATGCGGACAGAGCATCTCAGATGGATGCCGGCTCACACAGCCGGCTTAGTGCACAGCTGAAAACGCTGGAATTTAGGAACCCTTCAATCTTTTGTTTGTTTATTCGTGTTGTTTGCTTGTTTTCCTTCCAATCCTTTTAAGAGACTGTTAGAAAACCTGCACAGTCTATCCCACTGAGAAAGATGTCATCTTTATTATCCTGGTGAAGAAACAAATCTGCTCTCTGCCCCCAAGGGAGACACTACCTCTGTTTTCCAAGGCTGTTTGTTATGCAAGTGGTTACAAATTGTGTGGAAATTCCATGGAGAATTGTCTCCCAATAAAGAGGTAGAATGCAAACAACAAATATAGAATTTAAAAGCTTTTAACTTCAAATTAACTGTTGCTTTAAATAACATAATTTTGTGTGTGCTTTTTAAAAGATAAAACTAATAGTTTGGGAAAGGAGCTGTTAAAAGAAACCAAGGTTTCTGTCTTATTTATGAGCTGAATAGAGAAACTATTAAATGAATTTAGGCTTTAGAGCAATTTATTAAAGGATATTTATGTGCATGTATTAAAGAATAGAAATACAGTTTACAGCTTTTTAAACCAAAGAGGGAAAATATATTAGCATAGTTTAAAAAACTGATCAATCCAATAGAATATAGGAAAGGAGAACGTTTATGGAAAGAATAACCTTGTGGGATATATCTAAAGAGGTATATAAAGGAACATTTATAGCCTTAAATGCTTTTATTTAAAAGTAAGAAGACCCCAAATACGTGAATTATTCTTTCACCTAAATAAGCTAGAGAAAAACCAGAATAAAACCAGTTAAATAAGAAACTGTTAAGTAACTGGACTCTGGGACTTCAGCTGCCAACTTACTTACCTGCAAGTCTGGAGACGCAAGTCTGAAGGGATGTGTGAGCCTTCTAAAGGGCAGGAGGGGAAGACAGTGTGGAGAGTAAAGGGACATGGGAGTAAAACTTAGTAAGCAAAGCTATTTCAGATTAAAGAAAAAGGGAAGAATAACAACATCTTTGAAAATCAAATTCATGTGACCCAGATGACATGGAGAATTGTCCTTTTTGGAACCATAATTATTTTTAAAAATCCAAAGTATCCTGGGAAATGTGGACACAGACCCCATAGTGTGGTCAGTTCAACAAGATTTCAGCAGGTCTTTACTAGACAGACACTGTGCTGCTTGGTGGGCTGTGTGAATGGACCAGACATTAGTGCTGGTCCTGGAGGACATAATGGCAGGGAAATGAATCTAAGAGGGAGGGGCACGTAGTACAGTGGAGGGCTTGGGATAGGTCTGAGGGCAGGGACACACATAACCCCATGATTACCCCACCCCCACAACCCCCAACAGGGAGGAAAACAGTTCTTGTGTTGGAAGTGTCAATAATTGGCAGAGATAGGAAGTGTTAAAGGGGCAAACTATGAAATATGGTTATAGATGCCTAGGATTCACCCAACCTAATAAAATAAATATTATTCCAAGACCATTAGATGTAGCCACAATGCAATAAATTGTGTGGATAATGTAAAAAAAAAAGTAACACTAAATATGTTTGCTGTACGTTTTCAGTAAATATCTTGTTAAGTTAAAGATGTTGCCTTCTATTTAGTTTGCGAATTTTTTTTCTTTTTCTTTTTTTTTAAGATTTTATGGGGGAATTGGGGGGAGGGGAACAGCGTTGGAGAATTGGGAAAGGGGAACAGACAAATTGCTGTCCTTTTGTTCTTCAGTCTAGTTGTGGAGGGCATCGCTTCACTGGCCCATGTTGGTATACCATTGCGCTCTTCTCGGGTGAGGCTGTCGCTCAGCGACCCTTGGACGGCCACTGGACGGCGGCTCACGGTGGTTCACGGCAGCTCACGCCGGCTGCCAGCCACTCGCTGGGGACTCACTGCAGCCCAGCTCCAGGTCAAGCTGTTGTTCACCATCTTAGCTGTAGAGGGCGCAGTGTCACTGGCCATGTGGGATCCGAACCAGGACCCTGCTGATCAGAGCTGGAGTCCCAAGCCAACTCTTAACCAACTCTTAACTCGTCCGGCCTACCAATTCTTCTCTTATAATGAATAAGTGTTACATTTATCAAATGCTTCTTGTCTATGCAAAAAATCACATGGTTTTTTTCTTTATACTATGTGACAATTAGTAGATTATTTTTGGTTTTAAATCATTCCCATTATTTTGGAAAAACCTTATTTGGTCATGTTGTAATATTATATTAATATGCTGTTGAATTGTGTTTGCTGACGTTACATTTAGGATTTTTCATATACCGTATTTGCTGGCGTATAAGACGACTGGGCGTATAAGACGACCCCCTAACATTTCCACTCAAAATACAGAGTTTGTTATATACTCGCCGTATAAGACTACCCCCTCTTCCGCACACCTTCCACACACCAAATAAAAGGTAAAACAATATCAGATTTGATTTCAACATTTATATTTATATTCAAATGCTTATGACATGCAGGAAAACTGTCACAAGGCTGTATGTAATCAAACATATACATAAATCGCGATTCGCGATTTTGCGCTATCATACTGGGTGTATGGTCGGCTGTGTGCGATTTTGCGAGTGTGGTAAAATCGCATAACAGCAAAATCGCATAACAGCCGAGCATACACCCAGCAGCGCTGCTGATGCCTGAACGGTATGTGGAATGAAGTGGGCGGGCATCGGGAGGCCACTATGGCACGGGGCAAGCACTATGGGCAGTCTATCTGAAGTGTACCTGGCGTATAAGACGACCCCCCACTTGGAGGCATATTTTTCAGGGCCAAAAAATCGTCTTATACGCCGGCAAATACGGTAGGTTGTAAGGTGAAATTGGTCTACAGTTTTTTTATGAATTATACCGTGCTTGTCTAGCTTTGGCTTAAAGTTTATAGTAGCCTCAGAAAATTAGTTGGGTTTCCCTCCTTTTCTTGTTTACATGAAACAGTTTATGTACTAAAGGGATTACCTTCACCTTAAATGTTTAAAGTCATAAGATGAACCATCTGAGTCTTAACAGTTATATTGTAAGAGTTGACAGCTAATTCAATTTGGTACAGAGTCATTGGTTTTAAATTTTCTGTCTTGAGTGAAAATTACCCATTTAAGCCAAGTTTTCAAATTCATTGTTATAAAATAGGTCATAATATTCACTTGTGACTTCAAAAGTCTCTACTGTATCTGTAGACTTGCTCCCCTTTTCAATTCTTTGAAAACAAGAATTATAGAAAGGATCTCAAAAGAACAAATCAATAGGTGGTTATTTGATAAAACTTCAATAATGTTGGGAAAAGTAGAAGGCAGCCGGAAAAGAGGAAGACCAAATATGAGATGGACTGACTCCATGAAGAAGCCCTAGGCTGAGTCCACAGGAGCTGAGCAGGGCTGTGAGCACAGGACGTCGTGGACATCACTCATTCAGAGTCATCAGGAATCAGAGCCCACTGAACAGTGTGTAACACACACAATAAATAGACATACCTCTGTCTAGATTAAGAAAAGGAAGGAGAAAACACAATAATATTAGATGCTCTTTAAGGTCTGTGAAAGGATTTCAGTCTAAAATAGAACGGGGATATGAAATGAAGACTCTTGGGCATGTGCCTTCCGAACTTAAGAACTGAGAGATTGATTTCCGGTAAATGCCTAATTTACAGAAGACTTAGACTTATCGTCTACCAATGAACATCCCCGAAGAATCTCTCCCCATCCTTAAGCCGCTGAATTTACCTGCATGGACTCGGTCACTTCTTGCCCGTAAATACAGCCTGCCCCAGACCCTCAATGGACTTCCTTGTAGCTTTCTATAGCATGTGTTTCATGAATTGTAATTCCTCTGCTATACCCGAAAAACTCAATTTCTGGTAATCGGAGCTTGCCTCAGTTTACCTCTTTATTTAGGTTGACAGTTCCCATCCAATTTTAAAATTCCTAGTTCTGTGATTGTGGATTATCAAATCCCTACCAGGTCACTTTGCCTGTCCACCTCTAGTCTCTTTGTCATTCCATGTGGTCAGTATTTCCCCATCACTGCATAGCCAGGTGGAGGCAACTCTCCATGCCTTATTTACTTGCTGTATCCATTTGCTGGTCCAGTTAGAGAAGAAAGAACAGCTGAATTCACTGTTATATAGCCATTGTTCGCTCTTAGTGAATCCCTACAATGTCACCTGGACTCTGCAAAATGATAGCAATTTGGAGGTGAAAAGATACACATCCCACCCTCAAGAACTGTAACATACAGGGAAGACATTCCTTAAGTAATCACAGTGATGAAAAGGACTACGAAAGAGAAGGATAAGGTGAGGTAACAAGGGACTAGCAGAGTCTGGAACAATATGTGAGCATTATAGCTGAAGACCAGAAGTAAGGTAAGGAGGGTAGGAAATGATATATGGAAGAAGCTTAGTGTGTTCAAGAAACAAGTCAAGTGGGCTGGCCTGAGCCTGGAAAGCAGCAGAAAGGCTGTTTAAGAACTGTTTAAGAACTGAGGACCTTACCCTAAGAGCAATGGAGAAAGTCCCTGGGTGGTTTTCAACCAGAAAGCCTGCTTTTCAGTAACCATACAACTGCATTTATCTTCTTATTTTCAAAACAAAATTTTATTGTCCCCCTCAAAAAAGCAGGAGTCACTAATAGGCACCCTACATCTGACACATACTAGTTAGTATAGGGAATGATTCCCTTAGTTAAACCATTTCTTTAAGCTTGTTACGACTTGTAACTTGAACTAGTTTGCAATACAACACTCTGGGTTTTCTCCATGGTTCTAAAAGCTGTATTTACTGTGATATATTTTTAATGTTTTGGGGCCTGTTTCTGGCTGACTGCATTATTGTGCTGACTGTTGTCGATGGGTTGCTGAGACAGATGCCCAAATGGGCACCTTCTCCCATTTCTGTCATCTTGTCACACCCAAGCTCAACAAGTGTGCTACCTCAGCTTGGATCAGTTGAAGAGGAGATTTCATGCTAATTCTTGGCAGTCTCAGCCTCTAATCTAATATCTCTAAATTTCCATATTGCTCAAGGGGAAAAGGGATGTTGTCAAAGAAAAAGCAATTTGTGGAACCACCAGACTCCTATCATCATGGATTATTTATCACCGCATCTTGATTTACGAGAGAAAGCATGAATGTCTTGCCAGGAGCCTTGGTATTTTGTCAAGAGCACAGGGATGGTAGCTTTATGATGTTCCTCTAAAATGTGTGTGCTTCACTCATGCATTTGTGTGACAACTTTATTGTTATTTCAAGTTGAATAATCATTTATATTTGAGCATTTGGTTTTTCAGAGGTTTTGCCATTTTAAAAGTTTTATACTTTTTCTAATCAGTGATTCACCAAAGGGCTTATAGTGATATCAGGCTTGACGTAAATCAATTTATAAGTTTGTCCTTCTGACAAGTTTATAGTTTCAGCAGATATTCCCTAGGACTTCATAGTTATATAATAAAACATGTAATAAAACAATTTTTATTGTGGTGGTAACTTACAGACCTAAAGTATGTTTGTATATGTTAGCCATGTAAACAAATGCAGTAACTCCTGAAAGTATCTAATTTTAAATGTCTGTCCAATAGAATGATGAACTAGTGAGCTCTAATAAACTGAAAGAAAATGGGGGAAATGGAGGAAATGACTACATTGTGTTTATCACATCCTCAGAGGCATAATTTGAAAGTAACTCCCTAAATGACTCCTTCTCCATCCAGTTCTTCATTTTAATAATTAGAAATACTAATAAATAATGACATGACTAATAAAAATATCAATATCGACGAGCCCTTACTTATTTCGCCATTAAAATAGCTTCCTGAAAGTATCTCAAGAAGTTAATGAATTGCTTGTTAATTAAATTTGAACTTTTCTCCTCTAGTATTCAAATGGGAAAACCTAAAATATGATCAATTCAAATTGCTTATACTAAATTGAACGTTAATGGTGATATAAATATAATATATGGTAATGCTACACGTGAATGTGATAAGAATCTATAACATTCAAAATGGAATTTGCTAATTTTGAATATTAACTTACCTTTTAAGTTCATTTTGTTCCTGAAAATTCAAGTGCTGAAATAATGTTTTATCAGCATTTTTTAATTAGCCAAATGTAACTTTCCTTGAAAAATTTAAACATTCTCATCCAATTTATAAATTTTATCTTTTTTCTTGTGTTTTGTTAGCCTCTTAGCAAATATCCTGCTGTGATAAATGACATTTCATTCTGGTTGCCCTCTGAAAATTACACAGAAAACGATTTTTATGACTTAGTCCGAACAATTGGAGGAGACCTGGTGGAAAAAGTTGATCTTATAGACAAGTTTGAACATCCAAAGTAAGTAAAAAAACTTTCTGATTTTATCCTTTTTTTCTCTATGTGATAAATGGCATATGGAAACATATAATAAAATTGTGTTGAAACTCAATGCATATGAGACAAAATGTCTTCTGAATTTACAGTGAATGTATAACTTATCAGAAAAGGCTTTTATATCAAACCTTTCTGAAAATCTTTCTAAAATGCATTTTCAATCTTTCCTGCAATAGTAAAGAAAGTCTATAAAATAGAATGTTTTTAAGATCTTGGAGTTTTTCAGTATTGCTTTTGGAAAGGATTTCATACCGTGTCACATCCCAGGAACAGAGGATGAGGCAGAAAGAGGAGTTTGTGGAGAAGAAAGCTTTTATTAGTCTCTTGGTGAATATTTATTAAGCATATACCACAAGCCAAAATCTATATTAGGTCTAGGATAAAGTTTAATAACTTTGTCAGGATCCATCTCAGTGTTGACCCATTCTCTGTGGTGTGTGTGTGTGTGTGTGTGTGTGTGTGTGTGTGTGTGTGTGTGTGTTGCCTCTCACTAATCAGGTTTGACTTTGCTTTGGTTTTAGAAACATTTTCTTGAATTATATCTTTAAGGATTTGTTTTGATCCATTGTCCTGTTCTTCAGGGGTCCCAGTTATGCATAAGGAGGTTCTCCTGTATCTGATTTCTCTAGCTATAATTTTTCTCTCCACTGTTTTAAAACTCTTTATTTCCACTTCATTTTGAATGCTTTGCTCATTGTTACCTTCTTTGTCCCTTGCTGTGTTTTCTGTAGTCCCTTCTTCCTTGCGCACATTCCATTTCCATCTTCAGTTGCTTTGTTCTCCTGCCTTTCTGAGTTTATGCAAGCTCACATTTCAGTTCTTCCTGTTTTCTTGCTATCTCTTCTCTGAGTTATTTTTGCTTTGTGATTTTTCTTCATAGAGAAATTGATTCATTTAGTTTTAAAATTCATTGTAAAATATTTGTCTAGAAACTTCATATAATCCATCGGCAGCATTTTTCTGACTTCCCTGTTAATACCTTTTTCTTCCATTTTCCTTATTTTTTCCCCTAACTTATTAACTGATGCGTCAGTGGTATGCATATGGTTGCCTTTTGTCACTCATATTTGAATGTATTGGATTTTCTGAACCAGCTGTTTGTACAAGGCTGAGGGGTAAGGTTGAGGGTTGACTTGGGGAGGGGCTAGTAGTCATTCTGGCTAGTTGTTTTTACAACCATAAGGCTGCCTTTGTCACCACTGCTAAGAAGCCAACCCTTTCTTTAAATATGGCTCATTCAACTCTTTGAGTCTTTGCGTGGGTCTGCCCTCCACCCCAAACCTGCCCTGTTACAAAGAGGAAATTGACCTTGCTCACTCCAGTTTCAACACTTACTGGTAATAGAGACTTTTCACTCCGATTGTAACCCTCAGCTCTGAGAAATGCATTTTTGCTGGTGTTCAGGGATATGTGTTTGGAGAGATGCCACTCTTGGTGTTTCTTCTCTTTATTTCCTCCCATTTGGCTTCTACTTGATTTCGGCTGTTTTGGGAAGCCTTTAAATATATTTTGGAGCTTGCAGATGGTGTCTGTCTCCTAAGTTTACAGAATATAGAATGTGTGGGGTAGCCTGGGTCCCTGAAACATTGAAGCACACATTCAGCCTTGGACTGCTTTATGAGAAAGAACTTTCCAAGAGTTTACATGTTGATACTGAAAGTCTGGTTAATTACTATATAAGAGAAGGAAATGTATGGGAACAAGACTGATTGCTAAGTATTAACCGATATGCCAAAATCACGTGACCTGTCATTTTTTTCATCTTGTTTAATATTCAGATAATCTTCTAGAGTCACGGACTCAGAATCCATTCTTAGTTTTTTACTTCTCTAGCGCTTGCTTCCTCGTATTGCCTTAGATCTGCCTCGACCTCTCATATCACCAGTGTTAAAAGTGAGATGAGTAGGCTTTCATGGGTGGAGAGCATCAGAACCTAAAGGTCACTGTGAGATGTCATTGCCCGGATGTGGGGGTAGGTATGGTTTGGGGGAGGTGGTAAATATTGAGTCTTTCTGATTTGTAAGTGAATGGAATGGGCATGTTAATTGGAGAGATTTCAGTGACAGTGGGGTAGTATCAGTGTCCTGTGGACCCAGGGACAGTCCAGGCAGTCAGAGTGCCCGCTGAATAGCGGGGAGGCTTCTGTTTATATGCTTTTCCTAGCCTGTCTGGGGAGAAAGCTGGCACCTGCTTGAACAGGTTAGATTTATTTCTTTAGCCGTTTCAGCCTGGAGGAGGCTTTTTAGGATAGTTTTAGTTGCCTCAGGGTGTAATTGACTTCCCTGGTCTGGCAGGAGTAAATTGTCTCAAGGCTGTGGCTTTTGGGGTCAGGGCTGAGGGCAGAGGCCTTGGAGATATGTTTATCTTTTTCTCATCCTATCTGGGAATTTCTAACTGCCTAATTGTTACACTAACTAATCTGTCTTAATTCCATCATGTTAGACAATTGGGCACATTTTCCCTTGATTACAGATAACAGTTTGTGCCCCCAAGAATGATAGCTGTTCAGGTTAGAAGAAGATGACATTTTGTTCCAGTTTGTCATTCAGAGCCTTCTCCCAGAGCAGCTTTGCTACTTAATTTATAGGCCTCGTAATGTGCAGAAGAGTCCTTGTGGCTCTGAATTTCATGTAACAGAAAGTTTAGCAGTGACAGCCTCTGGAGAGGAGAGCTGGGGTCACTGTGTGTGCTGTGATACCTTTGGACTATTACACTATAGGCATGTACTGAATAGTGAGAAACCGCAATTGATCAAAATATTCCTTAAGCTGAGATAGAAGAAGGCAAACAGGAGCCCAAGGAAACCTAAACGTTGTCTTAACTGCTAACATCTCATTTGGGGAAGCGAGCGGCCTTTTGTGAATTGTGGAGGTGGACTGTAAAGTAAACAGGACTTGACTAGGACAGATTTGGGTTGAACTTAAGGCAGAGCTTTTCGAAAGTTAGAATTGAGGAATTTAAAATACTTGATTTGACTATAAGAAAGGGGTGGTCATAAAAAATGTCCCAGGTGTCTGCAGCAGGGGCTGGTTGGATATGTCCCCAAACCAGTTCTGCTCCTAGACTTACACCTTGTTCCTGGGACTGCTCCTATAGTTGTAGGCACGTTTACTGAATCCACACACCACTTGTTAGTCAGGGTCTGATCGGGCTGCCATGCTAGAGGTGAGCATGCTGACCTCTGAACACCAGAGGTGAGTCTCAGCTCTCCTCAGCCCTACCTGATCTTCCTCACGGTCACGTTCTTTGTAACTGAGCACTTGGAGCTTTAAAAATTTGGCATACCTCATTTTATTGTGCTTCATTTTATTATTCTTCGCAGATACTGACTTTTCATCAGTATGGAGGTAAAACCCTCCTCCAGCAAAAAGATTACGAGTCTCTGAAGGCTCAGGGGATGGTTAGCCTTTTTTTTTTAAGCAATAAAGTAGTTTTAATTAAGATTATACACTGTGTTTTTTAGACATATGCTATTGCACACTTAATAGACAACAATGTAGTGTAAACATAACTTTTATAGGCACTAGAAAACCAAAAAATTTATGTGACTCACTTTATTGCGGTGTTCTGGAACCGAACCTGTAGTATCCCTGAGGTAAGCCTGTAGGTATAATGGAACACTTGTCATAATTTCTAATACATTTCTGAAGAGGGACTCCATAACAGGCACCTTCTCAGCGTGGCTGGCCCCTCTTCTGAGTGGCTGTGCATTGTGGGCATCTCCTTCCTCCAATCTTTCCCTCTCTTCTTTCTTTTTTTTTGGTGTGTTTACTTATTTTTGCTTTGTCAAATAGCATCCAATAAAAACGCCAATGCATAAAACTTTGAAAATTAAAAGGGTAGAGATTCACCCATCATCTGAACACTAATACAACTCAACATTTTTTCATTTTCCCAGCCTTGACTTTTTCCATATGTGTGCATCAAGTGGCATTTGACTCTAGAATATAGAAGATGGTGTATGCTTTGTATTATCACCCCCTTGGTTCTAGGCCAGGGTTTTTTTAGCCTCGGCACTCCTGATAATTGGGGCCAGATAATCCTTTGCTGTAGGTGCTGTCCTGTGCATTGTAAGATGTTGAGCAGCACCTCTGGCCTCTACTCAGTAATATCAGTAACACATACCCCATCCCACCCCCCTTATGACAATCAAAAATGTCCCCAGACATTGCCAGATGTCCCCTGACGTGCAGAATTGCTCCAGTTGAGAACCACTGGGATATCATTTAGTGGGGAATGTCTAATTTCTTATGAAAAAGATTTCTTAAAATCGTGCAGTATTTTTATGTTATGACCAACTGGGAGAAGGGATAGAAGGGCCTCACAAGGGAGAGGTGTTTCAGTGGGGGTTGTTGTGCTTCCGAGGCACACACTCGATGAAACACAGAGGAAGCTGAACAAGCTAGCTTGGCTGCAGGAAGAGTAGGAAGTAAGGCAGCGTGACCTTTCTCTGTCTCCATCACTCTTTCTGCGATATGTCTACCAATTTCTACTTCTCTCTTCCGTTTTATTTTCTCACATTCACTCTCTCTCTCCCCACCTTCCCACCATGTAGCTTCTGTTCTTTTGTACCTTAGAGTCCAGAATACCCTGCTCAGCCCGAGTCTAAAGGACCCTCAGGTTCCAGCTCTCAGCACCAGCTGCAAGTTTCTTGCCCAATTCTGACAGTTTCAACAAAGCAAACCGATTGGCCCCACTCAGCTTTGCTCAGTAGGTCAAAGGTCACTGACGAGTTGGTGACCAGGCTCCACGCAAGTCAGGTGCCTGCCCTTGGGCTGATTTGCCTCATGGGTCAAGAGGACACACTTCTGACCTTGTTTTACATGTCAGTAAGTTTACTGCTTATGCAGATATTTCTTTGTTTTCTCTTTAACCATAACTCAGTAGCTTCTAACTTAGGCAGTGCCATTTTTAGATTTCCTTGAACTTTATGCAAAGCAGCATGCCATAAACATATTTACCTA